AGCCGAGGTCCAGGTTGGTGGTACACCACCACAGAGTCCCCAACCAAGAAGAGTCTCGAAACAAACCCTCCAAGGGGCTACACCAAGTGAAATATAACACTACACGAAGTAGCGTTACTATTTTCACTATTTAATATTTATCCGTGTCCCTTGGGCTTGAAATCTTAAGCTCTTGGTCTTGGTTCTGCAAGATAAATTCTTTTTGAGTTGATGGGGGCTTTCTGTACACACCTGCGACGCGATCGACACTTCACACTCGACAAAATAGAAAAAAACACATGCGATACGCAAACGACGACTTGACATGCGACTTGTAAAAACTCGCTAATGTCTTGACCGACACAAACCACATTGTGATACACCATTCAAACACACACACAAGCATTAGATAGCAATGACATAGACTCAGAAATCATTCCATGCCATGCATGCACACACACAAACAAGGACGACAAGCCGAGTGCAAGCTATAGGGTTGCACCAACAGGTACAGACAGCGTACCGCTCGTGACCAGAGAACGTAGTGGTGATGCCAAGGTCCTGGAGGCAGCCGACACCAATTAGGTTCCTAGAGAATGAGGGGATGTGCAGACCTGTGAGAGAGCTCGAAGGGACCCCCGGACAGGGGAGGGTGGTGGAACCGTGGGCGACGACCGGGCCGGAGGAGGGGTCAGCAAGAAAAACTGCAGCAGGAACAGGAAGCGGCGTCAACGTGGTGGAGTCGCGGAAGAAAGACAGGGAAGCTCCAGAGTCCAAGGTGAAGGAAAGTGCAGCAGTGGTGGCCGGAGTCGGAGTAGTGACGGAAGCACCAAGGCTAAACAAAGCAGGGTAGTCTAAGCTAGGCACACCTACACTAGGCAACAAGGGGTAATAAGAAAGAAGCACACAAGAGTCATCAGCATACATCACATGCAGGGCGGCAACAATGTCATCCATGTCCATATCAAAGATCTGAAGCCTACGACGAAGCAAGCTGTGCCTGTCCGGGAGGTTGGGCGACGGGCGAAAGCGCTGACGAAACAGGTCGTCGAGGCGACGGAAACAGCGGACGGAGGTGTGACCGATCTTACCGCAAACGAAGCCACGGCGAGGACCGGTCTGGAGCTGGTACTGATAGCGCACGTCACCCGAACCGCCACCCGGCAGCCCACCACGCGCAAGACCACCACGACCAGCGCCACCACTAGCGCCAGGCAACCCGGGCGGGAGACCACCCGCCCGCCTCGGCTGCTGCGGCTGCTGAGGCGGCTGCGGCTGGGGCGAGGGCTGCTGAAGCGGCTGGCGCGTGTCCAGCTGCGGCATCTGTGGCTGCTGAGACGGTTGCTCGGCTGCACCTGTCAGGGTCCCCTTGTCCGCGCCACCACTAGGGAACCCAACTCCACCACCACCTTCACCTGCACCCCCACCCTCGCCGCCGCGCCCAGCCTTGGGGCGGCGACCCTTCCCCGAACGGAACTGTACTGCAGCTGCGGTCTCAGCCACAGTAGCAGAACCGTCGGAAAAGGTGCACTGAGCGGGGGCAGTGCGGTGCAAAGCAGTACAGTGCGGTGCAAAGCGGTGCAGTGCGGTGCAAAGCGGTATCGGGGTTGGAGGGGTGCAGGGCTGTGCTGGTCGGGCAGAACGGGCCGAGCAGGAGCCGGCGGCGGGCGGGCGACGAACGACCGCGGGGCAGGCGGTCGGCGGACGCGGGGGGGCCGGCAAGGTGCGGGCACGGGGCCGACGAGGAGCGGGGGGGGGGGGGCCGGCTAGGAGCGGGCGCGACGAGGCCGGCTAGGAGCGGGCGCGACGGGGCCAGCTAGGAGCGGGCGCGACGAGGCCGGCTAGGAGCGGGCGCGACGGGGCCAGCTAGGTGCGGGCGCGAAGACTCTGGAGGCCGGGCAGGGTGGTCGAGACGGCGGGTAGGAACGGGCGCGACAGCTAGGGACGACCGCGGCGGTGGCTAGGAACGGTCGCGACAGCAGCTAGGGACGGCCGTGATAGCTAGGAGCGGCCGCGACGGCGACTAGGGGCGGCCATGACGGTGGGTAGGAACAGCCGCGACGGCTAGGACGGGCCACGACGGCAGCTAGGAACGACCGCGATGGCTAGGGGCGGCCGCGACGACGAGGAACGGCCGCGACGGCGACTAGAGACGGCCGCGTCGGCGGCTAGGAACAGGCGAGACGGCAGCTAGGGGCGGGCGCGACGGCGAGAGACGGGCGCGACGGCGGCTAGGGCCTAGGGCGGAAGCTCGGGCGGGCTAGGGGGGAGGTGTTAACGTAGAAATGAATGATTACTAGAGGTGGAAACCTAGAACAAATACTAGTTGGTTGTACTCACTAGAAGCATACCTCAGTCTAGCCTATAACTTCTACATAGATAATATGTATAAGTTGACACACCCCCTAGGCTAGACAAGGGGTGAAACTAAACAAGAAGCAAACAGCTCAGGGCGGCACTACTAGTCCAACCACTGAGGCAGGGGTCTGGAGACCAGTCAGCAAGAATACAACCAAAACTGAAGCAAGCCAGGGTGGCACTACTAGTCCAGCCACTGGAGGCAAGGCCACAAGGCCAGTCTGACAAGCATATATAATAGAGAGTACACAATCAGGATCCTAACAGGGGAGCAGCTATAGGAACAAGACCAAGCTGTACACAGTGCCGCTGATGATCTTTAGGCGCAAGCGCCTTAGTAAAGATATCAGCTGTGTTGGCACCTGAGGCCAAGTGAACTACGCGGGCCTGGCGGCGCTGCTGTAGCTCGCGCAGGAGGAAGTACCGCAGCTGGATATGCTTCGCTCTGCCCTCAAGCCGAGGCTCCTGACACAGGAGTATCATGGCCCTGTTGTCAGCGTACAGGACCGGGGCAGAGCTAGGCCGCTCACCTAAGTCTGTGAGCAAGAAGGTCAGCCAGCGGAGCTCCTGTGCCGCCATGGCACCAGCGTAGATCTCAGCCTCACAGCTAGACTGAGCCACAGACGACGAGCGAGTGGATCTCCAAGAGATAGCACCCGAACCAAGGCTGAAACTGTAGCCCTGCGACGACCTGAGCGTCTCAGCGTCGTCTGCCCAAGAAGCGTCTGTGTGCCCAGTAAGGACCACTGGCCTGCGTCCTCCTAGCACTAACCCCATGCCTGATGTACTAGCAAGATAACGCAAAACCCTCTTAGCGGCAGACCAGTGCTGAGGTCGGTGTCTGCCTGTAGCCACAAAGCGAGCCAGGATGCTGAGAGGGTATGCGAGATCTGGGCGAGTGCAAGTCATCAAGTACATGAGGCAACCCACCAGCTCTGCGTAGGGGCCACTGGGCTCTACTGGCTCCTCAGGAACGGGAGCAGAGAGCCCATGGTCTACGGGTAGAGGTGTGGGCTGTGCGGAGGAGAACTGAAGACCGAACCTCTGAAGGACCTGACGCACCAAGTGTGACTGGGTCAGAGTGATGGTGCGTGCTGCTCTGTCCCTAGAGATCTGCAGGCCAAGATAGCGACGCAGCTCTCCAAGGTCAGTGCAGGTGTGTCTCTTCAGCAGCTCAGCCTTCACAGAGGCCAGTGCGTCCCTGTCAGGAGTAGCGAAGACCAGGTCGTCTACGTAGACAAGGATGTAGAACGGAGTCTGGCCGGAACGCACAAACAGTGAAGGGTCAGCAGAGGACGGAAAGAACTGCAGGTCTGCTAACGTGGCACGTAGCGTGTCGTGCCACTCGCGGGGAGCCTGACGCAGGCCGTAGACCGGGCGCCTGAGAAGCCACTGGGTCCCAGGAGGGAAGGTACCAGTGAAGCCCTGTGGTCGGCGCAGGTAGACCTGCTCGTGTAGGCTGCCCTGAAGAAAGGCAGTAGAGAAGTCGAGGGAGTGAAGCTCGTAGTCACGCTGTGCTGCTACGTGTAGCAGCGCCCGAAGAGTGGTCATCTTCGGGGTCGGGGCGAAGGTCTGGAAGAAGTCAACCCCCTCGCGCTGACTGAAACCTCTGGCCACGTAGCGCGCCTTGAAGACAGGCGGCTCTCCAGGGGGGCGCTTCACCTTGAAGAGCCACCGACCATCGACTACGTTCACCCCAGGCGGGGGAACTGCGTCGACGTAAGTGCCGGTGGATCTCCAAGATGCCATCTCCTGCTCCATGGCAGCTATCCACTGAGAGGCCCAAGGTCCCGACGTGGCCTCAGCGTAGGTGCGAGGGGTCGGGATGTCGAAGGCGTCTGGGTCACCCTCAGGGACTAACAGCATGGAGCAGAGATGGGGAGCAGCCTCGGAAAGGAAAGCCAGCTCGTACTGCCTGTCCTCTAGGACGTCACTGCCAAGGGCAGGAGCACCCCCGACGGACAGAGGACGGGCAGGGTCAGAGACCAGAGCGGTAGCGTAGTCAAGGCGGCGGGTAGAAGCGAAGTCAGCGACAGCAGCGACAAGCGCGTCAAGGCGCGAGACAGGAACAGCAGGGTCGGTAACAAGAGAGGCAAGGACCCGAGGGACAAGGGGACGAGCAGCACGGAGGTAGTCAGAGAACGGAGGAGGTGCAACAGCAAGGGACGAGGGAGGAGGGGACGGGAGGAGGGGAGGACGAGACGAGTGGGAACGGAGCAACATAGGGTGGGTGGGCAGGACAGGAGAGACGGGACGAGCACGGGAGGGACGGCGAGCCCAAACGTGAGACGGAGGGGTAGGGTCAGGGGACAGCGGAGGAGACACAGGAGGGGAACGAGGAGGAAGACGGGCCGGAGACGAGTCTGGCGGCGGGAACACAGGACCGTAGACAGGGAGGTCAGGAGGCGGTGGGGGAGACACCGGCGCGCGGTCCGGGGAGGGAAGGCCGAGCAGGCGGAGAGCGGAAACCGGCGGCGACGGCTGCTGTGGCGGCGACGACGGCTGGGCCGGAACTCTCGGACCAGCAGAGGCAGAACGACCGTCGGCAGAACACTCAACAGCAGCACCCCAGAACCAACACCCCAGAGCGAGAACCCCTCCAACACCAGCGGCACCCCCAGAAGCCGCAGGACGAACACCCTCCTCCACACCAGCACCCCCAGGGGCCGAGAGCAGCGGCGGCAGTGGCGGCAACGGCTGCGGCGGCGGCGACAGCGGCGACGGCTGCGGCAGCGACAGCGGCGGCGGCGGCGACGACAGCGGCGACGGCTGCGGCGGCGACGGCGACGGCGGCGGCAGCGGGGTCGGCGACTGCGACAGTGGGGGCGGAGGCACCGGGGAAGGGGGACGCGGCAAGGACGGACCGGGGTACCACCAGAGTCAGCAGACTCCTCAACGGGGACAACCGACGGGAGGGGAGTGACGTGGGAGACACCAGACGGGGCAGGACGAGGCGGGAGAGGGGCAGGGCTACCGGGGGAGAGGGAGCAAGGAAAAGGGGGGGGGCAACTGGGAGACCTCGGTGAGGGAAGCGGCGGTAGAAGGAGACGGACTCATCAAAGGTGACGTCACGAGAGTGGAGGAAGCGGTGAGACGGCGGGTGGTAGAAAAGCCAGTCAGACGAGTCCAGGGGGAAACCGAGGAAGACACAGGGGACAGTGCGGGCA